GGTCAACTGGCGCAGCTGTCCTTGATTATTGTTGAGCAGGAAGTTGCTTAGCTTAATTGGGTAAATTTTTAATTTTAATACTCGGCTTACTCAGGCGGAACACCAATATACTAAATTTAAATGAACAGATGGCTCAAGAAATACAAAACTACTAACATTTATTAATCTCCCTTAGCGTTGATTGGAATATGAACTAAGAGTAGATAGAACTCAAGCTGGAAAGTTAGATTACGAGGAGGTCCTGGAGGTACCCAATGAAAACTCCCATTCCTCTTTAATTTCGCACCAGTGATCCTGGGAAACCTTCGAGTCGCAGCCCCTCCCTCCGCAATCGTTTCCCTTTTCAATTGTTTTGCAATCCCATATAGCCGCTCAATTAACGCGGAGATTCCGATGCTGCTCCCCCATCTTGGCGGCAATGCGCGTAATAAAACCCAACTCAACCCAGGCGGACCCTCGAATTGTGTCAACCGAACAAGGCAACCGAATGCCCTTTGTTGTGCTTGTGCTTACCCCTTTTATCACTCATTTCGTGGCCTGTGACTTTGGCTGCTGCTCTGCTGCTTTTCCGCTACCTCAACAAACAATAAAACGCTCCCCCTCCGAACTTGACCTTGATAAATTTGTGAAGTGAGCTTTTTAGCACATATCAAAACGGTTACATCTCAAGGGGCGCACTCGGAAAACGGGAAAAGCGGGGAAAGCGGGGGGAGATTGACATTGAAAATTTCGCATCTAAATTACGTGTAACAAATCGTCGAATGACGCATCTCCACTCGCCCCCAGAGAAAGCAGATACGTAGGTATGTATCCGGCAGATATATACGAGCAATACGAGCACCAGGGGTGGCTGCCTGCAATTACAATGCCAAATGAAACGAACGAAACGAAACCCACCCTCGTCCAAATATATATGGGTATAAATATATATAGGAGGGAAGTCAACCCCCAAAAACAGAGGCGACGGAGAAAAGTCTGACAGCCGCAATCAAAATGGGACATAAGCCATAAAAAGCAAAGCCAGCAGGCCTTGGCCCTGGTGAATCATCGTCATCTCCAGACGGCAATTTCGGCTGCCTTCAAGGACGACGGGCTAATCAGGAAGCCATCCTGCCATCCCGCCCCCACGAAGGCGATAATCAAAATAAACAGGGCTCAAGGTGGCGAATGCTAGGGGTTCGGGTCGACAACCTTGAAATGCTGAAATGTTTTGCCTACGAAAATCGATTCCACTTCCTGGAGGCTGGCTGCTCTCTCAAAAGGGTTGTCCTTGGGTTGGAAGTAATTAGGGCTTTATTTTGACACAGGTCAAGGTTGCTGCCAGGATTAGGAATTCCTTTCTCACCTATGGGTCCCTGAATTTTCGAGAAAGCTGAAGTTGAATAAACACAATGCACTGAGAGTAAGCGAATGTCTTCAGATAAAACGTTGTTTCAAAAATTGTATGCTTATCTTCAAGATAAAATAAGAAGGTTGCATATGCCTTCTAACTATTACAATATTTCGATTGAATTCCTGATTCCCATACTGCTTGTTTAAGATCCCACTTTCCCTCAGTGTTTTCCAAACTGGCGCTGCCGAAGGGTTCGATGTAGGAGCTTTATAACACATCGGCCTCGGCATCGGCGAAGGGTTGCCAAAACTGGGGAACACACATAAAGCAAACTTTTATGGCTCATTAGGAGGGGTAGCAAACGTCGGGGGTTGTTGTTGTTGTTGTTGTGGTTATTCTCCGGGGTCTGGCTTCCCCCGGCCGCGCCATAAAAAGCGAGCCCTCCCCGCTGGCTTTCCTCGATGTGGATCCTACCACAAAGCCAATTGGGCTAGGTCAGTGCTCGGTTTTGGCCCATTTGTGTGCGTGTGGCCTCTTTGCGGTTAACTCGACTCAAATTCGAAATGGGGGCTACCTGTTGCTCGGCTCCCGTTGTTACGAAAACCCCAGGACCGAGTCCTCGCCGCCCTTCCATCGCCACCAAACGAGTGCGAGTGCGAGTGAACCACCGGCGGCTTTTGAGCAGCTCATTACGGCATCGCAGCAGCTGCCACCTGCCTTCCTTTTAATAAAAACTAATAGCCCCAATTAAGCCAACATGCGTTTTGTGCTTTTGCTTTGCGTTTGCATTGTTGGCGCTAATAAAGTCAACACAAAAACACGCTGCAGTAAGTGAAAAAGCCAGGCCAAGCAGGCACCTTTCGACAGGAAGCCACGAAAAAATTGATTTGAGGAAGGTTTTGTTCCGAGGCTCATAAACTGTCATCGATTTTTTGCGAGGAAATGACGAGCTTTCGGCACAGAATTTTATGCATGTGTTCTTCGCCGTCTGCAGGTTTTTTTTCGTCTGTTTGCTTGCTTTCTCGGTCGCCTACTTTTGGCCCTATTTTTATAGGTCGTTGGCCCGGTTTTTACGGTTTTTTTGGGGCTTCTCAAAGTCGATTGTCTGTGTTATTCTCTTTTGGCTTTGGTAGGAAGCTTTTTAGCTCGGGTTGGGAGGATTTGGTTGATTTGATTACTCCTGTTGTGGTTGAGGATGTTTATTTTAAAAGCAAACGTGCTACGGTTATTGTGTGTGATAATTGTTTTTATCTTATGAATAACAATTATTTTGTTGACCCCAGCAGTTCAAGTTTAAAATATGAACTTTGAGATTGTGATTTTTGTTAAACCAAATTCAACTTTAAAATCACTTCACAAGCACCTTTAACAGATTCCCTGATACTTCAAACTCTGAGTACTTATTGAAGCCATACACAACTGTACCAACTCCACTCTGCCTAAGATTGTCGTATCGGTTTCACCCGAAAACACCTCAAGAACTCCCGAAGGCTGCGACTAAATTTAGACGCCAGCGAGAGCAACCCCAACTCGCAGTAATCCCAGATACCAGATCCGAGATCCCAGACTGTAGTCCCAGTCCCCAGGCCCAGTGACATCGTCTCCATCTCCCATTTGGCGTCTTGTGGCAGTCTCCTCATCCTCATCATTGGGGGCTGCAGCCGGCACGCTCTCAACTGCGACTGCAAATGCAACTGTGTGACTGCTACTTTGGCTCTGCATTAAAATAATTGCTTCCGAAATGACAACTGCTGCTAAAATTGAAAAGTGCCCTGTACGCAGACGCATTTCGTTCCCAGTTCCCCGGATCCTCGGTTCCCCGATCCCCCGATCCCCCGATCACCAGCTCCCCCAAATGGCCCCCAAAAGGTTGACGTTCTGGCAACATGTGTGCGCGCCTGCGCGTGCCAACAATGTAAATGCAGCCTGCCGATGGAGATGGCGATGGGATGCTACATGGGAGATGGTTGGGGTTGATTTGGGGAGAAGCACGGGCACTGAGAACAAACTTAACGAAACATTGATCGCTCGAATTCTCGTAAACAAGTCGAACAAGAAACATTTCATTTTAAATGCTACTGAAGCCGTTAGAACACTATTTATTATGTTAAGAACACCCCGGTTTTTTCCAGTGCCTGTAATGGCGTCGCTTATTTACCGTTAAGATGCAGCGGCTGTCAATCAGCCGCCGAAGAGACTAAGACGAGGGCATTCCAGAGGCACTCCTGCGAAGCTGTCTGGATCCGATCTGGAACCATATGTCGCCCCTTCGATTCCCCCTCGAACTCCGCGGTCTATTTTTGTACCGCCGTGGAGCCGGGCACGCCTGCGCACACACTCAAACTCCACGCACTCCCATTATTTCCATTTTCAATTTTAGTTTTCCAACTTTACCGTTCGTTTCCTCGCGTTCCCAGCACTTCGCCTAATGGTTCTTCTGAGACCCGATTGCGTCTCAGGCTCTTTGCTCCACGGCTCTGATATTTATGACCCTGCGCCGGAAATAGAATATGAATTCGGTCCAACAGGCGGTTTTCAGCCTTATTGGAATTATCTACGGTTTCGAGATCCATATGTTCTTTGAACACTTGAGAAATTCAATACGGCAGTCAGTTCATTAGAAGGTTTAATGTCATTAAACAACTGAATATTTTTGAGCATGTGAGCGAAGAAAATTAATTCTTACGGAAAATTTGGGGAACAGGAGTGATAGTCTTTCGTTTCCTTAAAAACAAGAGTTTAGGTTGTCTCCTCTTTATTGTGAAATAAAACAAACATTTCTGCAACCCATCAACGAGTTAAAAATATGCAATATTTAAATTCGGTTTTTTAGCTTACCTCAAAATTTCTAAAATGTCAAGTTCAAAACAACTGAAGTGCATGTTTGGCTTGATTTTTGTAATACATGGAAATATCCGGGCAGTATTATGACACACATTTGAAAGCAATGTTCAGGTTATGTCTTCTGAAAATGAAATTTATGGTTATTCTCAGTAAAAACACACAGAAATCTATAAAATATATTTTTTGAAAATGGGTTGGAGTATTGGCTAACAGTGCAGAATAACATTGGGATAGCCATCTACCGGGCTGTCCGAACCATAACAAGGTGCCACCTTTCGCCGCCAGAGGGCTTCTAGGCAGATGTAGTACATTTTACATACACGCTTGGCTTGCGTGTCGATAATTTAAGACATGTCGAATGTAAGGTATCATATGTAGATACAATGTAAAAACTTTAAGAACTCTCCTTGAAGGTTTTTGAAATTTCTGGGCACTTTTTAAGAGTGTTAGTTTTGGGAAATGACAGAAACTTTATAATTTCGACCGTCTGGCAAAGCCCCATCTGGCAGCCCTGCTATACACGGTTGTGACATTTAATTTAAATGCTTAGATGCTTTCCCGCCCTTTATTTCTTTACAACGGAAAGTTGTGGGTAAAAAGGGTTAATAATACGACTCATACGAGTGATATTAGGTATATATTATACATACATATATAGAATATTTAGTGAGCCTAGATTCATAATTACTTAAAATCATCGAAACTATTATAAAAATGGTTATATTTTTAAACAGTACAACCTGTTTGAACTAAATTACATCCGTATACATTTCAGTTGCACTTGTCATACGTAAATACTTATCCTCCGATTTTAACATTTCAGATCGTCTTCGGAGCCGATGGTCAGCCCGTTCGACCTGATTCGAAACGCGGCCGCGGCAAAGGAAAGTCCACTGGATCCGGCAGCGGGTCGGTTAACGCCACAGGTATCGCCGCCGGCAATGGAACACCAACAACTGGGGTAAGTGACGTCAGTCCACGACGACTTTATTTTATTGGCCAGCCAAAGCCGCATTTTATTCATGGGAACTAATTAAGTCACGCGACGACACTCGCAGACAGACTGTCTGCGGTCGAGGGATTGCCCAGACCGAGGACCCATACTCCGCCCCAGACCCACATTCGCATTCGCATCCGCATCCTCATCCGCATCCCGACCCCAAGCCCCAGATTCCAGATTCCAGACACCCAGATACCCAGACCCTCTGCCCGGATCGCCGGCCTTTTTTCGCGGCATGCCGCAGCACCGTTTTCCACGTCATCACGCCCGTCGCCACTTGCTTTGTTTGTTCAGGCCGGTACACTGGCAAAACAAGTGGTTACTTTTGAAATGAAAAATTTAAGAAAATACTTTCACATTTTTTACAAAGTAATTTTTGCTCTCAATAGCAGTTCTATTTACTTTGCTAGTTTATTTACCTAAAATATAACATTATTCTTGATGATGATCGGAAATTCAGGAAGATTATAAGGTACAGTTGTGTTCTAGCTAGAAATGCTTGCTATAAATGACGATGATACAATTGATACCATCTTTAAAGAAGAAATGAAACCGAGTTCTACTCTAAACTCTACCTTATGCGAAAGGCAACCAATATTGCTCGCTGTGCAGGGTAGACATATCAACCGAGGGCAGTCCCTGTCCCAGACCCCAGCCGAAGTCGCATTTCCAGACATAATCTCCACCGCAGGCAGCCAGCAGCGGCAGCCAACCGACCGCACGTAGCTGGGGGTCACCACCATAAAAACCTGCCAGCAGGGCGAACAAAAAATAACAGCCGAACGAACGGGGGCAGCAGACAAAGTTGTGCCGCCGTGTTTCCCTGCCTCGGCTGCCTTGGCTGGCTCAAAGGCGAGCTTGTGCCACTTGTGCCAGGAACTGCAGATGTGGTTGTGGATGTGGCAGCCACAAGCCGCACGTACCAGCAGCCAGAGGCAGCAGGCAGGAGACCCAGGAGCCAAGAGCCAACAGGCAAGAGCCAAGAGGCAAGAGCCCGCAGCCCAGGGCCCAGATAGCTACCCAGCTACTTATTGTTGCCACGGCGAGGGTCTTTCGGTCTCCGTCTCCATCTCCGTCTCTCTCTGCCCATCTCCGCATCCGTTGGGGACCGTCTGCCTTTGCCTTTCGAGTCCCAGACTCGGGGAAACCCGGGAAACGCCACTGGCTGCCAGTGACTTTGACCTTTGACGGGACGGATCGGCCGGGGATTTCCCTTTCAGCAGCACACGCAACAGCAACAGCAACAGTCTTCGGTTTCAGTCCTCCGTGTCGTCGCCACTTCAAGGTCGGGAGCGTCGTAAAAGCATGACACCAGCTAATACTGCAAGTGGATACAGAGAGTGCCAGTCGGCAGTCGAACGTGGGATACCTTTCTTGGCAACCCCACAAAAATAGAAACCGTTTGGGGAATAAAAAGGGACAAGGCTACAGAAACCTATAGAGACTCAGAGTATTTTATATTGAAACTGTCACTTTCGAGTCTAATGCCTCTCTATTATTCGTGATGAAAACCGTTCCCGCACACCGAGTTACCCCTGTACGAGCTCGTCTTCTATGGCTCATCACTCAAGTCACTTTATGCGGAGTGGCCTCCCATGCCATCAGTCTGAGCCAACGATTTGTTTGCCAAGCCGCTTGTGGCGGCATCTGCGACTGGAGGCGACTGGAGGCGACTCTCCTCCAATGGAGCGTTGATTATGTCGTCACAGCGACTGCGGGAACGAGAGACTCCCCATGGTGCCACACACATAGAAGCCCATAAAAAGGCAGCAGACATCCTCATCCTCATCCAGCTGGATCCGCATCACGTGTGGGGCTCCGCTGGCCATAAAATCGGCTAGACGGCAACAGGTCGTCGTAGTCCTGGTCCTTGGCTGCGAGTTTCCCCAGGCGAGGAGGCGGGGGAAACCACTGGAAATTTCCTCAAGCTCAAGCTCAAGTTCTGCGCCAGCCCTCTGTCTTTTCCTCTTGATTTTTCCCCGCAGAGTGTAACACTTGCAAAGTTTGCCTTCGCTTCGGAAAATGTTCCAAAGGGGGAAAGTGAACTGAAGTGAAGTTTTGGTGGCCCAGTGACACGGACACAGAAACACGGCGCTCCTTCTGTTTTTTTTCTGTTGCGGATGCCCCCGAATTCAGGTTGCATTTTCAGGTTGCATTTGCCAGGAAACCCTGCCGCCTCCTGCAGCCACCACCAGTCCACTCTACCGCGACCTTTTAGCTGGCACACCGGGGGACAAAAAATAATAGAGAATCCGGCACAGGCAAATCCATTGGCGGCACACGGCCATTGGGATTTGGCCAAGGACGAGCCCGGAGAGCCGCCACACTTCCATGGTCAGGGCCATTCAACTCCTGTCCACAGCCCACTCCGAAAAAAAACTTAACTGGCGGCACGCTTTGACGCCCGCAACGCGGATCTGAACCCGCATCCTACACTAAACAAAATTATTTAATATATAAATAAAATTACACTTAAATTTAATTAATACGATACAAATACTTATCATACAAAGGTTTCTATTTAACTGGCTTACTTTATATATTTAGTAGATACTTGATTTGTTTTAGTGCATAAATATCAGACAAAGGTACATCCCTTTTTCACTGTGCACTCTTTGGCCTTCGTGTTCATGTTTGCCTGCAGTTACCAACATTTTTGGCCAGGCAGCCAGCCAGCCAGCCAGTCAGCCAGTTGGCCATTGTTCGGTCCAGCCGGGTCGCGGATTGGGTCGCATTGGGCTGCAGTGGAGTCGCGCTGAGTTGAGTCGGGTTTTCGGCTTTGATGGCCTCGAATTGCCCGGCTCCACGGTCTGCAGTTCAGGGTCGCCATGTCCATGGCTCTGTGCTTTCGGCCAACGGCAACATCAGCAGAGGCAACGGCAACGGCGACTTGTTGCACTTTCCACATTCCCCCATTGCAACCAGGTCTTTATCCTGTGCCATCTGGCTGAATCTGGTGAATCTGAATATCTGAACGCGGAATGCGGCTGGAGTTTGTCATCCCGGCCAATGGGGACAACACTCTGCTGCAGGAAAGGGGTTTCTCTTCAGCCATTTATGGCCATTGCTTAGGGTCTCACCTAAGCACTGCAGAAATGTATTTAAATTTGGAGATAGATTGCCTGAATAATTCAGTGGCACAAATCATGCAAACAGGAACTTTGTTGCGTGGTGTTCCGGACATTCAAGTTGCATTTTTTCCGAGACTTCACCTCTACAACCCTCCACCACCCACAGCTCTTTTTTTATTATCCGCGTTGGCGTTTTTCCAGCTGGGAATGGGGCCACCGCAGCTACCGAATGCCGAGAACAGAGAGCCAAGAGGCAAGACCACCGTCCAGCGCCTCTGGCAATTAGTCAACACATGCCGGCGATGCAATCAGCCTGTCACAATGTTTGAACATGGACGTGGCACGCAAGGGGGCCTCCGCAGAGGGGGCGACTCCGCCACTCCGCCACTCTGCCACTTCAATTGGCAGCCGACTCGTGCACTTAACGTCTAATTAGGCGGCGCCTGCTGAAAAGCCGCTCAACGGGTTGCCCGCTCCTCCTCCGGCTGGCAATGTCAAAGCGAAGGCTTTTCGACTTTGGCCACACCTCGGCCATCACTCAAAAAAAAAAAAGGAAAGGAAACCAGAAAGCAGAAGGCAGACAGCAGACAGCAGAAGGCAAACAAACAGAAGTTGCAGTCTGCGGCCAGACATAATCGTAAATGCCAACATGTCGGCGCCAAGTCGGCTGGCGTGGCTACCTCAGTGGCACAGTACCACCAACCGTGACAGCAGCAACATCTACGGCAGCAGCAGCAACAGCACCAGCAGCAGCGAGAGCAACATGAACAGCAGCAACATGAAACACCAAGGGGACTCCTACGTGCGATGGCGATACAAGAGCTTACAAGCAGCTCGTAAAAAACAGAGAAGAAACAGAGACCCACGGCCCGTGGCATCAGCAGCAGGCGGCAGGCAGACAATTTGTCGTCCAACTGTCCGCATTGGAGGCACCGGCAACACCATGAACACCGGGAACAGCAACAGCTAACCAGCAGCAACAGCACTTGCTGCACAGAGAGAAAATCAAGGGGGGAAGTGACAACTGGTAGAACTCCCACTTCTACCATATTAAATAGATATTTTTGAGTTAGAATGGTTGCTCCTGATTTCGCTCCTGATCTAATTAAATTCAATATAATATTTGGAGCTTGTATATATAGTATTATAGTTCACTGTTTCTCTCAGTGCACGGGCTGGTGTCCCAAACTGTAAGAGGAGACGGCGACAGAGCGACACAGAGTTTTGGCACACGCAGCACGTGAGCCTGGCAACCTGTCTGCGGTTCTGTCCTTCTGCCACGGGACTTCCCCTTCCCCCTCCTCTTCCCCCTTCCCCCTCCCCTTCCATTCCCGTTCCGTCTCGTTTTTCCGTTTATGAAAGACCGAAAGGACGGACGGACCGGCGGGGCAGGCGATCCCGTGTGGGTCTTAAGTCGAACAATGAAAGCGCTGAAAGCTGAGAGCGGCCACGCAACTGTTGCTGCCACTGCCACTGCCACTGCCACTGCCACTGCCACTGTTTCTGTTGCTGTTGCTGTTGCCTTTGCTGCTTTGCTGCGAACGGGACACGCCTGCGGCACCTTCATTGAAATCCAAGCCAAGAGGGCTGGAAAAAGGCCAAAATGAAATAAATAAAAAAGGCAAAGGGAGCGGGGAAATGGGGAAAGCAGCGAGCACAGTGTTCAATGTCAAGGTTGCGATGTGGGCCTGTTTTGGGTCAAGGTCGGCGGTCGACGGTCGACGATGGCCAGGGAAATACCCTCAAAGTGCGGAAACGGCGCCGCCTTCGCCTTTGCCTTCGCCTAATAATAAAAAGGGCGACGGGCTTAAATTAACCCTTTTCCGGGTTGATGTCCTTCCCGCGCACACAAATCCCTGTGCCTCGTCCTTCGCCACGCGCCGGGGCACT